TGAGAGTCAAGTTCTGATGTAACAGCCGGGGAATCACCAGAAATGACTCAGTTTTCTCAGCAGAACTCACACAAGGCTGTCTATGGGCAGAGAGGCTTCTGTTTTCAGTGGGCAGCAGTGAGTGCGGAGACGCACAACTGGTCATGTGATAAGAATGAATGCCATTTGAAAGCTCAGCCATAAAGGGAACATCTAGGTCAGCCCCTCCAGTGTGCAGGGAACATTATAGAAGACGGAGCAGAAAGAATACAAGAGCCAGAGCAAGGGACAGAGTGCTGTGGAATGCTATCTTCCAGGAGCAGCATAGACATTACACCACAACCCACAACCACTGTGATTGTTTGAACCAGACCTGCACAAGACTGGGGCCATCGCCAGGCGGCGGTGGCGCACACCTTTAATCCCAGCACTCGGGAGACAGAGGCAGACGGATCTCTGTGAGTTCAAGGCCAGCATGGTCTACAGAGGGAGATCCAGGACAGGCACCAAAACTACATGGAGAAACCCTGTCTCGAAAAACCAAAAAAAAAAAAAAAAAAAAAAAGAGTCCATCAACATGCTGGGGGCGGGGCTTACAAGGCCCCATCCACCCCAAGGATCTATAGCCAGTCAATGGGTGCTGGAGAGGGAAAGCTATCTTCTTCAGTGGTGCAGCCACTGGTGAGGTACCAGACTCCTGTAAGAATGCTGATGACACGCATATGCCTGTACAAAATGTCATAATTAAGCTCATCATTATATATAACTAATATCTGCAAAAATAAACATTAAAACAAAGAGCAGGGACATCACAGCCTGGAGTAGTTTGCCTCTAGCTTCCACCCCACAGTGCAGCAAAAAGCTCTGCTCTTTGAGGGGTGATGACCAATGCTAAAGTCCTCTGAAAACGCCATCTGGGAAACTACTACTGCAGAATCTTCCTAAAATATAAATGTTTATATGTGTTTACATTCATAAATATATATGTAAGTTTTAATGGAGTTACCCTTATGGGTCAACACCTCTCCCAGGTGTCACGGGCTATCAAACAAAAAGCCTAACGCCAAATATAGGTCCCCTCCCTTTGTATTATTGGTCACTGGGGTCCCCTAAACTCCAAAACAATATAGACCATGGTCATTGCTCTTGGCCACCTTTGGAACTTTCCAGTAGGATCATATTAGGTTGGGAGGAAAAAGTAGTTATTGATGGGGATGTTGGAGGGGGAAGTGATTAAAACACACTATATTCATGCATGAAATTCTTAAACAATGAATAAGAAAAGATTGTGGGGGCTGGAGAGGTGGCTCAGTGGGTAAGAGCACCTGTTGTTCTTTCAGAGGGTCAGAGTTCAAATCCTAGCACCCAGCTCACTACCATTCATAGCTCCAGCTCCAGGGGATCTGACCCTGTCTTCTGTCCTCTAGGGGCATCTGTATGCACACACACACACACACACACACACACACACACACACACACACACACACATCCTACAAATAAATAATAAAGTAAGTCTTTTAAAAAAACACAATAAAGACCATGTTTTTATCTCCAGAGTTGAAACTAAAGTGTCTGGACTGAGAGATAACTAAACACAAAGACCCACACTCTACTGAAAACAGAGTCCTGACGAGTCTAACTTTCTGCCTCACTTGTTTCCTAGATAATGGAATCAGATGAGCCTTCTTTGAAAAGACAGAGCAATCCAAAATAAAACAACCTAGATCTCCACAACCCTTGGAGAGTTCTCTAACATGAAATGTGATAATAAAACAAACACACCAGAAAACAACACCTGAGAAAGAATAGAGAGTGCTCGCTTCAGCAGCACATACACTAAAATTGGAACGATACAGAGAAATAATTGAGACCTTGGAAGAAGAAGGGAACACCCTGCAGGCATCTATCCATACCCCAGAGATAAAACAGAATCTGGGACAGAACACCATTCTTTTAAAATTCAAGGAATAAAAGGAGGGGAGAGAGAGAGAGAGAGAGAGAGAGAGAGAGAGAGAGAGAGAGAGAGAGAGAGCAAATTTCCCAAGAAGTGAAGAAGCAGAGCAAATGGGCAAAAAGAGAAAAATCTATGTTAATAGGATTTATGGCCATAATAAGTCAATAAATAAATGAATACAAAGAATTAGCCATGAAAGAAGGGACTTGAAGGGAATATATTTTCTAGAGAAAGTCTCACCAAGACACAGGGGCATTTCTGTTTGTTTACAGAGGAGGGAAGAATGGAATTCGGTCTTCAGATTTCTCAATCTGCCATTTGACATCATGAAATGGTGTGGTGATACCATCTAATTTCTCGGGTCGGGGGATTACATCTATACCATCATATACCTGGTGAAAATTTACCATTCCAGTTAAAAAATAAAATAAAGACAGTTTTAGATGCCTGGGAATCTGTTGACAGAGGAAATACTCCATAAAAATGAGAGAGATGGGTGCTGGCACAGGGCCAGCACAAGAGTGGGCACAGAGGAGAGACTCTAAGCAGCTGTACCCCGATGGCTGAAGTATTTGTTACTGAGATATTCAGGCCTGAGGTAGTCATCTCCTTAGAGTCATCCCCTTCAGTTCGATGCTCACTGGTGACCCCATCAGGCTCCATTGAAAGTTCCAATCCACTGCTCACACAGATGGTCCTGCCTAAACTAAATGGGTCACAGACCAAACACAAAATCTTCCAGTCTGAGAAAGGGAGTGGCAGTGAGGACAGGGGCTTGCTAAGAATGGAAGGGGGTTGGAGTCAAGAGAAAAAACTTTGGGACACCACCTAAAGAGTTCATTCATCATGTGTCCCTTCCCATTGGTTAATGTGCAAGTCACACCCAAGAAACCGAAGGGTGTTGAGGCCAGCTGCTGCAGCCTGTCAGAGTGAACTTTGAGGGTTTGTTCATGTGTATTCATCTGAGGGTTTTCTGGGGGACACATGAAGAAAGAGCCAGCATGAGGTGGTCCTATGAGCCCACCAGGGCAGCACTGAGGGTAATACAGGTAAATAAGCTAGGCATGTGCCTATGGGTCCAAGGGTTGAGGAAAAGCCTTATACAAGACAAAGTGTGCTGAATAGAGCATATCAAGAGAAGAGGAGACAAGAGAGCCCATTGGACTAGGCTCAGAGATGGGCAATGGCTCAGAAAAATCCACCAAAGTCCTCCTAGGAGCCAGCTCTAAACAGCTGCCATGCCGCAGAACACTGTCTTCTGTCACAACAGTGTGCTCCCTTTCCTCTCCTGTCCAAACCTTCAGCAGGAAAGACCCAGAAGCTGAGCAACGTTATACTCATCTACACACAGCCCCCTTAGGATGAAGAGGTCACAAACCCGCAGGCATGGAGCTAACTCAAAGACAATGGAACAAAGACCACTTCTTTGTTATTCTAGCTACCATTGATTTCAAATGATTCCTCATATTTGGAGGTTACACAGAGACAGCCAAGCTGCCCCTTCAGTTTTCAGGTTGACCACTCTCCCCTCAGTGACTGACCAGCACCGGAGAGGAACTTACCTGACATTAAAGAAGTCACCATCCTCCCCTTGACCACAGGTATGTGGCCCTCTGACAACAGGTCTCGGTAGGAGATATATGATATTATGAGATACACCATCATTCTTTTGCATATCACAATGTGATATTAGAGTAGTGGAGCCTTGAGTTCCCAGCAAAAATGAAGGAACAGGGAGAGGGGACCAGGCATAGCCCTTATCTTCACTGGACTAAGCCGGGCTTCAGTTCTACAGCCATTTACAGAAGCTGATGTTCTGTCAAATTTTTCTCTAGATGAAACTACTGCCATGCTCCAACAGCCTTGCCATGCTTCCCTGGGTGGACTAATGTGTCCTCCTTCTCAAGGGACTCTGTTCTCGTCATCCACCATGCCCTGCACCATCCCAGGGAAACTGAGGGACATTCTTAGTCACTGTCTAATATACCTGCATAAGATCTGCATGAATCGTAAACTGAGCAGAGTCAAATGTGCTCCCTCTGGGTTTCTTCTCTGCAGCTGGAGATGAGCGGTAACAGCCAGGTTACTCTTTCACGCCACAGCATCCCACATGTGAAGGTGGCTGCGGTAATCTAGGAGGTTTTTGTCTGGGACCAGAAGATGAGAGTCCATGGACCTGAGGCTGTGTCTCACCTAAGAACCAGGTTTAAACTCTCCCATGAGTCACGACCTTAAGAACAGCAAGTACAGGTTTCCCAGAGACTTGTGGGCTTTTAAAATTAAACTGATCTTACATTTTAGTATAAGTGTACCTACAAGGTGAAAGCAGAGCATGTGTTATCACCACGTGCGTGTGATGTCTTTATTTGAATATGTGGGTATGCTCACCTGTGTGTGCATATGTGAAGACCAGATGCCAATGTCCGGCATCTTCCCCATAGTTCTCTATCTTATATTTTGAGGCAGGATCTCTCACTGAACATAGGTTCACTGCTTTGGCTAGACTTGCTGACCAGCACGCCACTGTGATCCACATCTCTGCCCACCCTATACTGGGTTACAAGTTTTCACCACCACTCCTGGCTTTTATCCAGGCTCTCGGGATCAGAACTTGAGTCCTTATGCTTGTTCAGCAAGCGTCTAACCCCCTGTGCCAGCTCCCCAGTTCCCGCACCACCTTCTTGACCCATGGTAGGTTCACGGTGAGTGAACAAGAAAGAAATTTCAGTGGCAGCCTCTCAAGCACTGCCACCAAGATGACATAACCTTTTGCTCCCAAATCCTGACAATATCAAGCCAGCATCTGAACGTAACAGGCCTTCACCTTCATAGAACTGCAGTGACTGGTTCTCCTGAACCCTGTGACCATTATGTAAATAGGATACAGTGAAATACCCAGAAGTAGGACCAATCCCATTTAAATAGGTTACCTTGAGATTGGGTGATGTTTATGGCAGAAAGTCACCAAATGGAGCACTTCAGACCCACACCTTCTCCCCTCCTCACTCACCCAGAATCACTGACACAACCTTCCCCCCCCCAGGAGCCCCCAAGCCACCACTGACCTTCCCGTCAGACACCTCCGCAGAGAATAGGAAGCTCCTCCCCCACAGGTCCGGGAACAGTCGCTCCAGTCTCCCCAAGCATCCCAGTTGCCGTCTTTGTCTTCCTCTGAAGGAGTGTTTCTCGAGGTCTGGATGTGGGGGAAAATGCAGCCAGTTAGAGAAGTCACCTAATTCTGCTCACAGGAGATAGCCATGGCAGTCCAGTTTGGAGAATGGGATAGTAGTGCTGCCAGAGATTCCTGGGGCATACAGGGGCGGAGGCTGTTCAGCGTGTGTAAAGTCCCAGACATGTACAACGAGGAGGTTCCTGGCTTGTGCAGTACAGTACTGGGCTTACAGTGACTTCAGCCGGTCAGGAAGTGAGACACCATCTTCTGGACTTCCCCTTACACAGAGAACAAGCGGTGCTGGAGAGATGGCTCAGCGGCTAAGAGCACTGGTTGCTCTTCCAGAGGACCTGGGGTCGAATCCCAGCACCTGTCCGGCAGCTCACAACTCTCTAACTTCAGTTCCAGGGGATCCAATATGGAATACATACATGTGGTACATAGACATATATGCAGGTAAAACAACCACAAAGTGAAAATAAAGATTCATAAAATAAAAGTAAATTAATAAAATCTCAAAGCCAGTAAAAGTGAGGGAATGAGGAAAATTGTCTCAATTAAGAGTTACAGCAGCAGGGCGGTGGTGGCGCAGACCTTTAATCTCAGCACCTGGGAGGCAGAGGCAGGCGGATCTCTGTGAGTTCGAGGCCAGCCTGGGCTACAGGACAGCCAGGGCTACACTGAGATACTCTGTCTCAAAAAAAAAAAAAAAAAGAGTTATAGTATTGACATAAGTAATCATAGGTATTAATTTTTCTCATCATGCTTTATTAGTGCATATTAATTGCACAAAATGTGTTTCATTATGATATTTTATATACACATCAAAAGCCCTTTTATCATATCTACTAAAAGTAGCTATAAGCTGTTTTAATATTTGAGATAATATCTCACGATGCAGCTCCTGCAGACCCTGAACTTTCTGCACACCCCAGGCTGCTCTCCACCTATTATTGCATCGGTCTCCTAAGTACTAGCATTGAAGTTTTTATATACAAATAGATAAATTCTTGGTCTGGAGAAAGTGCTCAGCAGCTAAGAGCACGTGTTGCTCTCGCAGAGAACCCAAGTTTGATCTCCAGCACCCACGTAGGAATTTATAACTGTTTGGATCTCCAGTCCCAGGGGATCCAATGCCCTTTCTGACCTCAGCGGGCACCAAGCACACATATGATCACAAACATACACGCAGGTAAAACACCCATACATAAAACAAAATGAATAAATCTAATAAAAAACTTTTTTTAAAAAAAAATCTATAAATTCTTAAAATATGTCCAAATGAATTCCAGATTTCTTAGAAATTTATATGAAGGCTCTGAAACCATAAAATACCAGGAAAAATCATATGCCATATAAACATTGATGGTCATATGGTTAGCATAGGAAAGACTGTCTTATATTTATTAACAGAGGTAAAAAATAGAAAAGGCTGGTATGGTTTAATTTCTTCAAAATAAAAACCCAGGCACTTTCTCTCTATCTTCGTATAAAGACAGCTTAGTAAACACGCATGAAGACATGGCCATGAAAGTCGAGGGGCACGGGCTGGAAGGACACACAGTAAACTGCCTCTAAGAAGAGAAGAGGCGGGTCTGCATGCGGGTCTGCTCGCCGTCCCTGAGGAAAGTCACAGAGCAACAGCAGTACTTTATTTTCCTTTATCGCTCCAAAAAAATGTCTACAGCAAATAAGCCCAAGCTTCAGAAATCAACATTGAGCCAGGTGGGCTTTCATGGGTAATGGTTTTGTTACTCTCTGAACTTTGGTGGTTTTTGAAATTTCTTTTTTTTTTAAGTATGTTAGGCCAAAATACACTCATTAGATGACAACACCTTACCTAGAGACAAGGCTGTATCATGTTTAACATGGTAAGTCTGCCTGTGAGCAGACAAAGAGATGCCCAGATAAATCAATTCTTACAGTGAGAGAGTGAGAGAGCTTTGAGCGACTTCAGCAACATTTTTGTGTTATGTCCCCATATTTTGTAGCACATTTTTAAAGGGTTTATTTTTACGTTTAGTTATGTGTATTTGTGTGTCTGGGGTGGCTTAGTGCATGCTCATGATTGAGTGCACGCTACTTTAGAGGCCAGAAGAAGGCATCAGATCCCCTGGAGGGGGGTGTCACAGGGCGTGGTTGCTGTGAGATGTCTTTCTGTATGCTGTGAATATGTGTTGCTCTGATTGGTTGATAAATAAAGCTGCATTGGCCTATGGCAGGGCAGGATGGAGCAAGGTGGGAAAATCCAAGGGAAATAGTGAAAAGAGAAAGGAGAGGCACGAGACGCCATCCTGCCATCCAGAGACCAGCATGTAATGGCACACAGGTAATGCCACAGAACACCTGGCAACATACAGATTAATGGAAATGGGCTGAGTTTAGTTATAAGAAAAAAGCTTGAGCCATAGGCCATGGCCATATAGTTTGAAAATAATATAAGCCTCTGTGTGTTTATTTGGGTCTGAGCAGCTGTGGGACTGGGTGGGACACAAGAAAACTTGCAGCTACAGGTGGTGGTCCTCCAGAATGGGTGCTGAGAACAGAACTACAGTCCTCTGAAAAAGCAGTAAGTGTTCTTAACCACTGACCCATCTCTCCAGCCCCTTGTACCATATTTTAAAAGATAAAACACATAATGACTTACTTAAAACAAAGCAAACAAACAAACAAAACCCTATCCTCTTGGACTATAGAAATAACTGTACAAGTCACACGGAATTTAATAGGTAAGTCATAAGACAGAGAATATAAAGGTATAGAGGGAAACCATGGCATAGTAAGGAATACATGTGCCTGAATTAAATATTGCTCAGGTTTCCCTAAGCTTTCAGGCATGTTACATCATCATCATCCCCTCCCCCTAAAAAATTAAATTAAGAGGGGAATTGGTAGGGAAGACCTTCAAAACTGAAATCAAAAAGTAATGATGGGAAGAAAAAAGGTTTTCCAATACTTTTCACTCAAGTCCCACAGGTCATCGGGTCTGACAGATTCTGTTAATAGCACAGTGAACAGCCCTATAGAGCAATACCTCAGCCTCAGTAGAGAGACAGAAACAATAAATATTTGGCAGCTGACCAAATCTGTCATCAGGAATGGGAGCTAATTAAACCCATACTATTTACTGTTCTAATTAAGACCACTGTTTAGTTCGGTTTTCTGCCCTGGAAGTCATCAAACATAACTGTACCCTGCCTATAATACAGTATAAAATATAAAATTCTACTGGATAGAAAAATACAATTAGCAGTTTAATACATTCATCTGGACTTTTAGATGGGGTAAGTCCAGATCATTTAGGCAAATATTTAAACTATACACAGCTGAAATTGGTTTTGCATTCTGTCACTCGATATATGAATTGGTCGAATGTGAAAAGTTGAAAAATATCATCATATATTTTTTAAACGAAAGTTGAGAGCTCCCTGCAATACTGTTTTAATTTGTTTTTATTCCCACCACCCCATCTGTTCCATTTATAGTTAGAATCGGGTTTCTTTCCATAACTCCTCCACCTTCACTTACAGAAAACATCTTGATTCTAAAATAATTAAAACGGGCACATTATAAAATGAAAACATCTGGTTTCTCTGATTGGATCTGTCAGAGTTTTTTTCCCCTCTTAAGAAAACAGAAAGCAAATGGCATCTCACGGGGTCCCGCGGTGTTTCCCTTCCCCGTTAGCATGGTCGGGTTCCCTAGACCCCAGCGGCAGTTTCTGCCAGCCAATCCTGTTGTTCATCCTTCCGAGTACCAAGTAGCAGCAATGTCCCTGATCTCACCCACTGCTCTCTTTTGATCTTCCTCTCCTGGAATTTCCACCCCTCTAAAGAAGGCAACAATGAGCCCCAATCCTTTTCTCGGGAAGAATCCTTCTAGATTTTCCCAAAGCCTCCAGTACCTGGCTAACACCCCAAACGCTTTCTGCTCCCCTCGCTCTTCCGTGACTGTGTTCAATCTCTGCACACAATTAAGGATGCAAATTTTAAATCTCAAAATGTAGTGTCTAGACTGTGGCATTACATCTAAAGAGAGTATAGGCCATATATTGCCCCATGACCCATACTCGTGTGTGTGTGTGTGTGTGTGTGTGTGTGTGTGTGTGTGTGTGTGTACATAGATGTGGAAACCAGAAAATAACCTTGGGTGTCATTTCTCAGGAGCAGTCCACTTTGATTTTGATTCTGAAATAGGGTCTCCTTTAGGCTTGGAGCTCACTTCTTTGATGGAGCTGGCTTACCAGCCCAAGAGATCTGTCTGTCTCAGCCTCCCCAGGGCTGGGATTATAAACATGTGCTATCATGCTTGGCTTTTCTATGTGGCTTCTGGGAACTGAACTAAGCTATTTCCGTAACCCATGCCAAATTTCTTTTGATAAAGTTTCCCTCCCCCTTTCCTTCCCTTCCCCTTCCTCCTCCGCTCTCTTTTTCCCCCTCCCTTTCCTCTCCCTCCCCTCCCCCCTTCTCCCTCTCTGTCTTTTTATTTCAGGAACACCATTTATTGGAACTTCCTTTGGAGGCAGGATTACATAATGATTAAAGCTGTTATGATAAGCCTTTAACTTTAAAAAAAAAAAAAGCCTCATTTTAGACAGTGATGGTCACCATTGCTCACACACACGACTTAAAACACACATAGAAAGTAAATCATACAGCATCTCCATGTAGCTAATGAATATGTCACAAGTGCCAGCAGTTGTTGTTAAAAATATCACCTTCAAAATGACGATGGCAGAGCCAGCTCTCCAGTCCACGCTAGTGCAAGACTTAACATTAATCTCCAGTGAATCTCCTCTTGTTGCTCTTGGCTTGGGAGATCAGCCAGCTGCTGAGGTCTGTTCGGACCCTGATCCCAGCACCCATCTGTAAGCCATCTCCTTGACTTTGCAGCTTCCCTGTGTGCCCCAAGTCACTGATAAGCATGCTAGACATAGCTTCCCAATCTCACAGAATTCCATTAATGCCTTTTTCAGTTTTTTTTTTTTAACAGTAGTGAGCAGACCATGATGCCAAGTGGGT